GGCAAGGCTCGCGCCAAGGCCAAGACCCGCTCCTCCCGGGCCGGCCTGCAGTTCCCCGTGGGCCGCGTGCACCGTCTCCTCCGCAAGGGCAACTACGCCGAGCGGGTGGGCGCCGGCGCCCCGGTGTACCTGGCGGCCGTGCTGGAGTACCTGACGGCCGAGATCCTGGAGCTGGCTGGCAACGCGGCCCGCGACAACAAGAAGACGCGCATCATCCCGCGCCACCTGCAGCTGGCCATCCGCAACGACGAGGAGCTCAACAAGCTGCTGGGCCGCGTGACGATCGCGCAGGGCGGCGTCCTGCCCAACATCCAGGCGGTGCTGCTGCCCAAGAAGACCGAGAGCCACCACAAGGCCAAGGGAAAATAAGTTGCTTACCTGTCTTCTCTTGGACTGTCCTGGTGGAAGTCACCTCAAAACAAAGGCTCTTTTCAGAGCCACCCACATTTTCCAAAAATGAGCTGCCACCTCCCGTTGAGTTTTCTAGTACAGTGTGTGGTTATTGTGGAAGGCATATGATTACTACATGAAATTTCAAATTCTTGCTTTGTAACAGTTTTCGCACTGTTGTTATTCTATAAGTACTTTTCGAGATGCGTTTCTCCAAAGTGGTCATGAACCAAGCTTGAGAGCCCGTTATGTATCAACACTAAACCAGTATAACTACTTATGGAGATACGTTTCTCACAAAGTGGTCGAGAACCAAGGTTGACAACCCGTTGGTATTCATCAACACTAAATAACCAGTAGCACCCGAGTATTTACCGATAATTGCCCGGCATTAAAGCACGCTTTACAGTTTGCATTGCTCCCAGTTCGTTTTTGCTGACACGATTTGCTTCCGTTAGATTCCTATCGGGCATTCAAGTATTTGCAAGTGATTAACAGTACTCAATACTAAATTACTACAGAACCTCTCGTCAATCCCACTAAACTTTATTAGATGAAATTCCTGGTTACCGAGTTGAATATTTTCAGCCTGATCCTACTGAATGTACAGATTACTTAGCAAAATTCCTATCCATAGCAGTTATTGTGACGAAAGTGTAAAAGCGGAAGCAAAGATGGACGAGGGGCGGATGCGCCGTGTGACGGAAGGGGTGGAGAGAGGGCAGGTTCCTTCAAAGACCCGAAAGCGCGTGTTTTAATCAGGATTTAGGAGCAGAGACCGGCCAATCCCGGAAAAGCGCGGGATCGTTTGAATGTTCTTGTGTCCAATAGCGGATAGCCTGATTGTATAAAAGATGGACAGCGTACAGGAAGTTATCGTATAGTTTTTCGACTCCCTTTTGTTTCATTCATGGCTCGCACAAAGCAGACCGCTCGCAAGTCCACCGGCGGCAAGGCCCCGCGCAAGCAGCTGGCCACCAAGGCCGCCCGCAAGAGCGCCCCGGCCACCGGCGGCGTGAAGAAGCCGCACCGCTACCGTCCCGGCACCGTGGCGCTGCGCGAGATCCGGCGCTACCAGAAGTCGACCGAGCTGCTGATCCGCAAGCTGCCGTTCCAGCGTCTGGTGCGCGAGATCGCTCAGGATTTCAAGACTGATCTGCGTTTCCAGAGCTCGGCCGTCATGGCGCTGCAGGAGGCTTGCGAGGCCTACCTGGTGGGTCTGTTTGAGGACACTAACCTGTGCGCCATCCACGCCAAGCGCGTCACCATCATGCCCAAGGACATCCAGCTGGCCCGCCGCATCCGCGGGGAGAGGGCGTAAATTATTGGTCAGTGCAAAGTTGAACCCAAAGGCTCTTTTCAGAGCCACCCACGTTTTCTGTAAAGCAGCTGTGATTCAAAACTAATACTTGTTTTTATGCATTTTTCATTTTTTTTCAATCATACCTGATAAGTTTCTAATAGGACTTTATATTATCCTTTATTACCGTTTCTATTTAGATTAACTTTATTACACTGCTTAAACTGACTAAAGAAGTAGACCAGTCTATTTGTCTTGACCATGTACTGTGAGTAGGTTCTTTAGTATTCAGTGTTTTGTATTGATGAAACCCTTTTTATTAAGCTACAGATGCTGCTCTTTCTAGACTTTTACACTAGGCTTCTTACACCTAATAAAAATTTGCCAAGATCTAACTTGATTGGGCGATTTGCTTGAATGTACTTTCTACGACCTTAAATAAATATGAACCCACCGCTTTTGCATACTATTTTATATGTAGGTATTGACTGGGGCCTAGTTGCTCAGGCATGTACTACCTGATACTCCATAGGCTGAGGTGGCATTATCACAAGTTTAAAGTTTGCTTGCATTACAGGATGACCTCAAAGATAACCTTGGTAATTTATTAGGACTCTGTCTCAAAATCAGAACGTGCTGAGGAAGATAGAGGTCCAAGGGAGCCAACACTTTCCTAGCCAGTGTGAAGCCCTAGATTCAATTCCTGTCGATTGCTTTGGGTGGGTTACTCAGTCTAGGGGTTTGTAACCCACCCTGCAATCAAGTTATTCCAGGGTCTCGGAGAGGCGCTACCTGGAAGGGAATGAGCTAGGACAGAAGGAGGCCAAGCAGATTTGTCAAAGCCTCCGTTTATTAGGATCATATCGCCCCTGAAGGGTAGGGAAACTGGACTCTGCCTGTTCCAGGTCACGTAGGCCAGGTCAAGTTCGGACGGACAGGTAGGCCAAGAAGTCACGAGTTGCCACACCTGGTTCCCTGGATAGCTGGAATGTGAGGTGGGTTCCGATAACAGGTAGCTCTCCATCAACAGCTTAATTGGGTGTGGGGCAGGTTCTCAATAGAACATAATTATGGGTGTGGGGTTCTCTGCTGACTCTCCAGGGTGATGGTTCCTGTAATGATTTTTAGGGGGGGAAAGGGCTCGTGACAAATTCCCAGTAAACAAAGAAGAAAGTAAAGGTGTATTCCAGGTGTTTGATTTTTTTTTTAGATTTATTTATTTATTATACAACATTCTGCCTCCATGTATGCCTGCCCGCCAGAAGAGGGTGCCAGATCTCATTACAGATGGTTGTGAGCCACCATGTGGTTGCTGGGAATTGAACTCAGGACCTCTGGAAGAGCAGCCAGTGCTCTTAACCACTGAGCCATCTCTCCAGCCCCCCAGGTGTTTGATTTTTCTAGAGTCTTTTAAGACAGCTCTACCTGGCAACTGCCTGTCATCCACAGGTGTCTCAAGGTGATGGGGTCCCTTAAAGTTCTATCATTTCAATATTTTGATTTTTAGCTGTACTGGCTTTGATGTCCCCTGCTTAAGTTTATCTTTTATATATTTTCTCAATCTATAAGAAACTAGTAATGCCAGCACTCGGGAGGCAGAGGCAGGTGGATCTCTGTGAGTTCAAGGCCAACCTGGTCTAAAAGAGCTAGTTCCAGGACAGGAACCAAAAGCTACAGAGAAACCCTGTCTTGAAAATCAAAAAAAAAAAAAAAAAAAAAAAAAAAAAAAAAAAAAGAAAGAAAGAAACTAGAGTTTTCACTGTAGGTCCTGACAGGCAAGCCCTTCCTGTTTTTCTGTAATAAGATTGTCTTACATTATTCTGACTCCACAGCCCCTCCTAAAACCAAGGGTAAAAAATGGATTCCGGATTCCTTCTTCATTTACTTGAGGCTTTAATAGAATTTCACAATGAGAGCATGAGAGAGAGCAAGCGAGCAAGCAGGTTCCTTTAAAGGGTACACACCAGGACCCTGGTACCATAATCGCAGCCATTTGTGTGTCCTTGGTGTCTGTTGTGCCATCTGAAAGGATCTTCTTCTCCATCTGAAAATGAGATCAGCATCATCTATCCTCCATGATTGTGACCGGGTATATTTGAATGCCTGGTTTCAGTCTTTCTGAACTGTCTATTCTTTTTCTTTATAGTTTAAGTTTTTTTTTTTTTTAAAAATCCCAAACTAGCTTCTTAAATTACTTTTTACTTGGCATCACTCAATTGCATAAAGTCTGCTCAGTTTATGAATAAAATGGTACCATGTACTTAAAAATCAACAATGGAAGAAATTCAAGGTCTTTTGGGTTTGCCTTGTTTCTTTGTTTCAGCAAGGGGAATAAGTATTGCTAATAGCTCCCTATTTTCTGCCTAAAACAGGAGAAGAGAAATAGTGCTCAGCAGGCTATGGATGATATCATTGTGTACCAAACTGTCAGTCACTAAAGGTTAAGTGAATTTCAAATTGTGATTAAACCTTGTTTAGCGTTCTTTAGCTTACTTGCTCTCCCACAGTTGTCTGTGCTCAACTTTGAATAAAAACGCTTTATTTTTGTTATTTCTTCTGGTCTTCATTTGTGTATTGTGACTTGTTGCCTTGTCCCATAAGTGATCTAAAATATATTTTTGCCAAATTCATTCTCAGGCTCAGATGGGGATCCTGACAGTAAAGCCTTACCTTTATCCATATAAAATTGGACAGACAGCATGTGTTAGATACACTAGATAGTGGTTGTTCTATGAACTTCAGAAAGCATCTGTTCTCCAGGTACCACAGAGTGGTATTAGGCACAGGATGAAATTATAGCTACTGTTCTTTTTGTTGTTGTTTGAGACAGGGTTTCTCTGTAGTTTTTTGGAGCCTGTCCTGGAACTAGTTCTTGTAGACCAGGTTGGCCTTAGAACTCACAGAGATCCGCTTACCTCTGCTTCCCGAGTGCTGGGATTAAAGGCATGTGCCACCATCGCCCGGCATCCGGCTAGTGTTCTTGAAGACAATAGTTTGTGTGAAAGTTTAAGCTCTTAAAGAAAAGGAAGCTCTTATGTTCCGGACACACTCTTTAAGACTGAACAGTACAGGCATATACAGTGACACAAGCCTGTAATCCAGCTCTGGGAGAATCAGGCCAGAGGCTTGCAAATCCCATTCCTGGCTATATTGTGTTCTATGCAACATTTTCTGGAAAAAAGGAGGAGGGGGGGGGGATGAAGGAGACAGAGAAGGGAATGGGGGCGGGGAGAAAATAAAAAATGGAAAGACTAGAAGGACAGAAGTTAACAGTAGGCCATCCAGTCTTGACCAGAAGCAACTTTCTGAGTAAGAAGTGTCTCAGAAAAATCAAGCATGTAGAAAAAAAGTGAGTGGAAATTCATGAACTTGAACCACACAGCATCTTGGCTTGGAAAAGTTGGGATATGAATGCCAATACACCGGAGGAAAAAGGACAAAAAGAACTTTTCAATTTATAAAACTCCGTCCCCGAAATACAAACTAGGATCTGACATTCTCTTATACTTTACCATCCGCGGCGATTAAAAGCAGTGCCAGACAGACCACTGTGATGAAGCCCATCACACAGGGTTTGTTTCAGCTTCCACTTTTACATCACTGGCCATCACTGAAGTTAGGACAGGAATTTACTCAGGGCAGAAACCTGGAAACAGGAGCTGCTGCAGAGACCACAGAGAAGTAATGCTTACAGACTTGCTTCCCATGGCTTACTTTCTTAGCGAACACAGGACCACCAGCCCAGAGATGGTACCTCCCACAATGAATCCCTGATTAAGAAAATGTCCTACAGGCTTCCCCAGCCTGACCTTAGGGAGGCATTTTCTCAACTGAGGCTTCCCCCTCCATGATGACTCCAGCTTGTGTCAAGTTGGCATGAAAGTAACCAGCACAAATATTAACAAGTAAACATATGTAAACAGTACTTCTATGGAACAATCTCATTTTAACTAACATATTACCCAATCCAATTCCCACAAAACACTGGTAGCTTTATCAGATGAGTGGTTTGGGTAAAAGGGAGAAAGGGAAAACTACCAGTGAATCTATCAACTCATCCCTTTGAATGAGGAATACACTACAGGTGTGGCGAATCACACCTCCATCCTCTTGAAGTCCTGCTTAGGACTGCAAATTAAATTAAGAGAATAGAAGCACCAAGCATTTAACAGTTTCACTGCTCTTATTCAAAAATAGTAATCGGGCACTGGTGGAGCATGTCTTTAATCCCAGCATTTGGAAGGCAGAGACAGGAGGATCAAAGCTAACCTGGTCTACAAAGTGAGTTCCAGGACAAGGGCTACACAGAGAAACTGTCTCCAAAACCAAGCACACAAGCAAGCAAGCAAACAAGCAAAAATCCAAAGCAGCAGAATCCACTACATACAGAATCAGGCAAAAAAACAAGTGCAACGATTTGACAAAGCAAAGGGGCTTCAGCTACGCTAAGGTATTTTAACAAGGTTTACTGGCACTGATTCTGCCTCAGTTCCTCCTAGTAATAAAAGGTTTTATTTTGTTCTTTTACTATCTTTCACATCAGAATTTTCACTTTCAAGAAACAATAATGTGTTCTTTTGGCACCAGGTGTGTATGTGTGTGAGTGTGATGCTTTGAGCATACATGATTTAGAGTAGTATATGTTTTAACACCTTCAAATACTGGGCCATAAATACGTAATTCTTTGTTGGAAAATACATACAAAAAATATAACAGATTAAAATAGTGGTACAGTGCAAGCTGGGGGCAAGCTTGGGGAAACCTTCTGCCTGAAGAAAGGCAGCATTTCTTGTGTTCCACTCCTTGATCTCCGCCCTGCCGGGGCGGAGCAAAAGGTGCCTTGGCAGCCTTTTGGTCCCCGCCTACTTGAGGTTCTCAACCAGGTCCGATCGGAGCCTATAATAAGCCACCATCGGTTTTTGCTTTTCGCTTGGTCTACGAATTTTCAAGCTACTAGCTATGTCTGGTCGCGGCAAGGGCGGGAAAGGCCTGGGCAAAGGCGGCGCCAAGCGCCACCGCAAGGTCCTGCGCGACAACATCCAGGGCATCACCAAGCCCGCCATCCGCCGCCTGGCCCGGCGCGGAGGAGTCAAGCGCATCTCCGGCCTCATCTACGAGGAGACCCGCGGGGTGCTGAAGGTGTTCCTGGAGAACGTGATCCGCGACGCCGTCACCTACACGGAGCACGCCAAGCGCAAGACCGTCACGGCCATGGACGTGGTCTACGCGCTCAAGCGCCAGGGCCGCACCCTCTACGGCTTCGGAGGTTAAGCTGTTGCCGCCTTTTCCTCCACTGTCGCAAAAGGCCCTTTTCAGGGCCACCCACTTGTTCCTTAAAAAGCTGTGCATTTCGTGTAGTTTAGTGGTTGTCGTATGCCTATTTTATGCTTATTTCTTGTATTTATGCAGGCTCAGGGTTCTCCAACTTGCACTAAACAGCACTTTTTTACTAGCTGTGAGCCGTTAGGCGGTAATCTTCACCCCTTGCCCCAGATATTTATGCTAAATGATACTAAGGTTTCTTTAAAGTGCCCTGCACAACTACGTATTCAGTCCTCTAAGAAATTCACATCGGCTATTTGGATCTTGTGGTCATGGGAAGTCCTAACCTTGAAGGAGCTCTAGGGGATCCAAAGAAGGTGGGCTTATAGCTTAGTCTCTTAAGCAGCAATAACTATGTCCTTATTAAGGAGTTTTGTAATTCAGTTACAGAAAGTAAAGCAGGGTTAGTAAACTTAACAGGCTGCTTTCATTCTCAGAGTGGGTTCAAGGTCACGTTGGACAGCCTTAAAAATCCTGTATTGGGCATAAATAGGTTTTAAAGCCTTTCACCACCAGGGCCTAATTTCAATCACCCATTACCACTACCTGAAGAAAGAACCTTAGGGCGGTGCCCAAACTGAAATAGCATCCAGATTAGAATCCATTCAACTGGTGGGGGAAATCACTTGAGAAACAGGACACAGAGAAGCCCTGTCTGGAAATAAAACCGAGAGGAAAAGAAAGAAAACCAACAGGCTCCAGTGATCCTGGAGGTCTTAAACAGAATTGAGAGTAAAATTTGAGGTGTAGAGGAAATCTTAGGTCCCATCAACATACAGTCTGGTGGTAGTTGTTTTGTTTCTCTGTTTGGATTTTGTTTTGGGGTTTGTGTGTGTGTGTGTGTGTGTGTGTGTGTGTGTGTGTGTGTGTGTTGTAGAAAAATCAGTGGATTTGACTACTACAAGATAGAAAGGAAATATTGGTGCAAATAGTACTGACATTTATGTGATGTTTTCCTTGACCACCCCTTCCAAGCAGTGCATTTAAATAAACATTGACATAAAATCTATGCAGTTTCTATGGGTAATGCAGAGATCATAGAAAATACAATGTATGCATACAGGCTGCTTGTTTATGCTACTATGCCACCATATACAGGGCTGCAGCATCTTCATAGTCTTTGAATGCCCCCCATGCGTTTTGACAGTAGACTAAATAGCAAAACTAGATGAGATTAATAATGTAAAACATAGTGGAATGCAACATTATCTGTAAAGTGAACAGGGCAGTGTGAGCAGAAGAAACAACCTATGATCTATATCCACTGTCACCCAGCTCTCCAGAAACAGATGGAGAAGGACCTCAGATCTGAGGCCAGTCTGTGCTCTGTGATGCTGGAGAGATTCAGAAATAGAGACATTATATTACGTGTATTGTATACTCTATCTCAGTTCTTAGACCTTTTTTTTTTTGATCATTCCTGGAGCTGCATCTTTGTCAACTACTGTTTCCTGTAAAATACTGTATGTTCAATAGAACTCCATGCCCTGGCTGGGAAGCCAGGTTCATCCCGTAGCACCTCCAAAATTGATGAGTGGCAGCTTCTGGTCATTTCTCAACACACCACAGGATTACCATTTTTAAAGATATTAAATCTACTCTCTGCCCAAATATTCTGCTGTACTAGTCACAATGTATAGAAATTCCTTAAAAATAGTTCTCAGGCCGGGCGGTGGTGGCACACGCCTTTAATCCCAGCACTTGGGAGGCAGAGGCAGGCAGATCTCTGTGAGTTCAAGCCCAGCCTGGTCTACAAGAGCTAGTTCCAGGACAGGATCTAAAAACTACAGAGAAACCCTGTCTCAAAAATAAAAAAAAAAATAAAAAAACAAAAAAAGATAAGAAAAAAAAGAAAAAGATTTAAACCTCAGGTTGTAAAACAAACAAACAAACAAACAAACAAACACAGTTCTCACTTCAAATAAAGTAAGAGATAGTTTACTTGGGAGATCATGGACCAGGAACAGAGGTTTAAGTTACCCCCAACTCTATGCTCCCGTGTAGAGGCAGTTTCATGAAAGTTTTATAGCTACAAAGAAAGGTCACTAATTAAGGCACTTTTTTGAATATATTGGCGGAAACATTAGGCAGTCACAGCCAAGGAGCAAAATCTCTGCTACTGGCCTCATATGATGTCTGATGACTATACCCTTTTCGTTGTTGGTACAAGCTAGACTTAATACATTTCCAGAAGTTTTTATCTGTTAGGTTATAGGATTAGGTGTACACAGCAAAGAAATTCTCAATAACTATTCAGGGAGCTAAAGACTGACCCAAATAAATTGTAATTGAATTTTGAATACACAACATTCTGTCCGCTCAAACGTCATTGAAGGTCAAATCACTGTCAGGCTTTGAGGATACAACTTCTTTGCAGGAATTGTCATCCACACAGTCCCTAATTCAATACCTAACTCTTTAAGAGTGACCATATGTGGGTTTTATTTAATGTAATGTGTATAACAATATTCTTAGTCTGTGTATGTAGGCATGTACATAGGCATGCCCCCCTTCTCTAGGACATAATGCCTTGACAGTCAGGACTTCATGTGTCCTCATGACTATATCATCTAGAACAACACTGCCATCTCACAATTTGTCTATAGATTGTAAATTATGCTTTCTTTTGTCTTTTAAAGTTATTTTTATTTTATTGTATGGATGTTTTGTCTGCATTATGTCTGGGTGCCCAGAGTACAGAAGAGGGTATTGGATTTCCTGTGATGGCAGTTATAGGATATTGTTGCAGCACGATTAATAAAAATCCAAAGACAGATACTGGGGTACAACCTGAAGATCAGAAAAGAAAAACAGCCAAGCACGGGCTCTTAACTCTACCTCAGTCCAAAATGGCGATCCAATGGCGATCCTGCCTCCTTGAATCAATCCTCAGAATGAGACTGTGAGAGCTGTCTCCTCCCATCTGTATTCCTCTCTAGTGCTGGGATTAAAGGCATGCACCACTACTGCCTGGTTTCTATGGCAAACGAGTGTGGCCATACTACTGGGATTAGTATGTCACCTCTGCCTGGTCTGTAAGGCTGATCTGGGCGGCTATTTAACTCTCTGATCTTCAGGTAACCTTTATTTATTAAACTACAAATGAAATATCACTGGATTTCCCCTTTTTGTCTAAAATAAAAGGGGCTATAGCTAATATAAGAAAAATATATACAATAAGTACAATGACTAAATATAATATATACAGGCAATAAATACATCAACAATGTCTAGTCCATTTGCATTTGATAAATTCAGAGAAAATACTCCATAGCTATCCTAAGTGACTCCAAAGTCTTGTACCTAATTTACTTTTTATCATAACTTGCTTTCTGTGTCAGATAAATTAGGAAAACTATAACTATCCAGTCTTCAACTCCTTCAGAGATCCAAGAAGGAAATTAATAATAACTGATAAGAAGGAAGTGTGAGCAAGTGACTTCCAAACATATGTGAGAGAGAGAGAGATGACAGAAACAGCTGGCTGCCTGGACAGTCACCCACAGTTCCTCTCCAACGTTGGGGCATCCATCTTCAGCCTGCAGGCGACTCTTCTGGGAAGCAGGATGTTCTGAAGGGCTGTCCCTTCTTGTCTTGACATTGGGCAGTCACTTTCTTTTGTGTTCTGCTTGCCCAATTAGGACGTCATACGAGACAGGGGCATTTTCTTGCCCAGTGGCTTACTTTTGCCACAAAGAAAGTAAGCTCCATGTGGAGTTGCTTCAATGCCCATTATCTTCTCTGAAGCAGATTGGTGCTGCCAGCAGCAGTGTCTCATTGTGATGAAAAAAAAAAAAAAAAAGAGCCATATTCTGTAGACCTCTGAAGTGTTTGAAGATGGATGGCCTGTCTATCTAAAATATATCTTTGTTTGACCTTGAAAACATTCCTAATGTGCCTACAAGTTCAATTGTAATAGGTGACTAATTACTAACCTGTACTTCCTTATTATCCTAACAGTTGGTAATAATAACTTTCAAAGACTAGACATTTGCATTAGATTGTTAAAAGAGCTGTATAGGTACAATACCTTGAACAAGAGTAGAAATGTATATACAGTATGTTTTAACAAAATTAATCTCCAATTTGTATCAATATACAAAATTTGTATGCAATATACAAGAGCCAATCTACTGTGAAACATTTAAAACTAGTAGTTGCTTTTTAAAAGTAAATTCAATAATCTACCTTTTTATCCTGTCATTTCTATGTCCTCCCCTTTTTCTTTTCAGAGTAGATCCAATAATCTACCCTTTTATCCTATCCTATCTATGCCCCCCCTTTTTTTCTTTTCTTTTCAAAAAAAGAACTTAGAATCTAATCTCCTTTGTTTACCTTTTTTTCCTGGCCATTACCAATAACTTGTAGCCACCCTCCCCTCCAAACAATGACAAATATCCATAATCCATTGAATGACCCAAAACCAACCACCCCCACCGTTTTGGGAATGTGGGCGTCGTATTCTTAAATTTACTTCCTCGTGGGCGAGGGTATCTTTAGGGGATCCTGAAAAGAAACATGTGGGTTAATTGTCAAGTCCTGGGAGATGTAGCTGTACCATCTTTTTGTCCTGTCTATGCGTAATAGGGAAGTGCAAAGCTTGTTTCAAATCCCGGCTAGAGCAGTCTGTAAGGCTGGATCATCTCAGCTAGCCACCTTGAAATTATTCTAAGCAGTTTGTAGTCCAATGCTAGCAGTTGAATGGCGTCATATGAACCAGGCGGAATCTTGGGGCCCCATCTTCTTCCTAGAGACTCCAGAAATCATTGTAGGAAAATTTGTCATTCATTGTGGAAAACTTAAACATTATTCATATCAAAATGAAAAGTTTGAATTTCGATACATATATTCAAAGAAAGGTACCATAGAGAAAAAAAATAGGTATGGCGAGAAGTAGAATTGTTGAAAATAGAAGTTTGATAAGCTTAGTCCCAGTCAGCTTTGATTTTTAAGTGAGTCGGGACAGCCATTATATTGAGAAGTAAGGAGGTATGTATGCTTAGGTAGTGAGCTTTTACCCTGCAGAGAATATCGGTACCATAAGTCAGATTCATCTTTGCTTGGTGATTCTTTCTGGATAGCTATCTTTTCTTCTTTAGGGATTTAGACATCCAAGACCTCTTTACTTCTTGAAGATGGGTCTTTTCTATTTTCCTGAAGACAAGAACAGAACCCTGCCCAAACCCTTGTGAGATTTCCTTACAACTTGTAGGACTGTCACCTTGTGAATGAGCTATATCATTTATCAAGGTTTCTCCTTTTCAAACTGGATGTCCATGAAATTTCATTTATATTTTAATAAAGGTTGTCTGAAGATCAGAGTAAAACAGCCGCCCTGGTCAGCCTTACCTGTCTTTACCAAAACTAAGACCTGAAATGAAAGCTTACTTACACACCCTGCTTGACCCAGTTTCCAGTTAAACTAAAAATAATGTAATCGTGTTTCCATCACTCAGTCTAGCTTTTCTCAAGTTGTTTGGCTGCGCAGGCTTGCTTGGGCCATACTTAAAGAAAATGGTACAACTTAATAGTTTGGAGGTCTCACCGTGCAATTCACTGAACGTATAACAAAGACAAACCAAAGCGTACTTACAGCCGGTTCTCTGCGATCAGTACAATGCACATGGCATAGGCTCAGCATTACAACGCCTTTTCAGAGTAGATGGGCGGCCCTGAGAAGGGCCTTTGGTTAAGAGAAAAAAATGAATAAACCACCAAGCTTTTCGAGGACCAAGTCGGTGGCCCTGAAAAGGGCCTTTTGCACAGTAGAGAAGGCAGCAACAGCTTAACCGCCGAAGCCGTAGAGGGTGCGGCCCTGGCGCTTGAGCGCGTAGACCACGTCCATGGCCGTGACGGTCTTGCGCTTGGCGTGCTCCGTGTAGGTGACCGCGTCGCGGATCACGTTCTCCAGGAACACCTTCAGCACCCCGCGGGTCTCCTCGTAGATGAGGCCGGAGATGCGCTTGACTCCTCCGCGCCGGGCCAGGCGGCGGATGGCGGGCTTGGTGATGCCCTGGATGTTGTCGCGCAGGACCTTGCGGTGGCGCTTGGCGCCGCCTTTGCCCAGGCCTTTCCCGCCCTTGCCGCGACCAGACATAGCGACAAAAGAAGAAAGAGAAAGAAGTGCGTGGTACCTGAGAGCGGATCCTTATATAGCTGCTTCGCCTTAGTTCCCCACCCCGACAGAACGAAAGCCCCCGCCGGCGGGAAAGTGACGTCACAAATTTGGCCTTTGAACCCCACCCAACAGAGCTGAAAGCCCGCCAAACCGGTGGCGGGGAAAGTGACGCCACAAATCCCGCCTTTAGGTCTTGGCGATTCCAAATGAGAGCCCGCCGGCGGGAAAAGTGTGGTACAGACACCGCCTTTAACCATTGCCCAACAGCGCTGAAAGCCCGCCAAGCCGGTGGCGGGAAAGTGACGTCACAAATCCCGCCTTTACGCCTAGCCCATGCGAAATGAAAGCGCGCCGGCGGGAAAGTGACGTCACAAATTCGGCCTTTGCTCCTTGCCCACCAGAACAGAAAGCCCGCCAAGCCGGTGGCGGGAAGTGACGCTACAAAACCCGGCTTTAAGCCTTGTCCGTGCGAAATGAAAGCCCGCCGGCGGGAAAAGTGATCAGACACTGCCCTTGAACATTGCCTCAAATTCCAAGTGCTATCATAACACTAACGCAAAACTTATTTTAAAATACACGGTTCGTAGAACTTTACTAATTATCAGAATTGAGCATTGAGGGGTAGAACCTAGAGTTGGCACACCTTTTATTCCAGTTGTTCTGGTACCAGGACCTAAACAGATTGGGCTAATTCAATTCGCAAATGCTACGGGTAAGAAAACATTCTGATATTTCAAATTTGAATAAACTGACCGATCAGGACGGTCATAGGAACGTTAATTATCTCACAGCCATTTTACTTGAAATTGTGGGTGGCTCTGAAAAGAGCCTTTGGTTGAGATTAAGACGTTAACAATTACGCCCTCTCCCCGCGGATGCGGCGGGCCAGCTGGATGTCCTTGGGCATGATGGTGACGCGCTTGGCGTGGATGGCGCAAAGGTTGGTGTCCTCAAACAGACCCACCAGGTAGGCCTCACAGGCCTCCTGCAGCGCCATGACGGCCGAGCTCTGGAAGCGCAGGTCGGTCTTGAAGTCCTGCGCGATCTCGCGCACCAGACGCTGGAACGGCAGCTTGCGGATCAGCAGCTCGGTCGACTTCTGGTAGCGCCGGATCTCGCGCAGCGCCACGGTGCCGGGGCGGTAGCGGTGCGGCTTCTTCACGCCGCCGGTGGCCGGGGCGCTCTTGCGGGCGGCCTTGGTGGCCAGCTGCTTGCGCGGGGCCTTGCCGCCGGTGGACTTGCGAGCGGTCTGCTTAGTACGAGCCATAGCTGCAAACACGCACAAAGGCCAAAGATTTGACACACGGCAATGACGGGCTCAGAACTACTATTTATAGTATGCAAAGCATACTGATTGGATGAAAATACTGTTCCCCGGTGACGTTTAAGACTCTGATTGGTTCACTTGTAAAAACTGCAATTGCAGTTTCCCTGACAAAGGTTTGCCGCTGCCCTTTTCTTGTGTGTGTGCGTTTTTTAAGGGAAATGAGGTAAAATTTCGGTGAATGTTTACTTCTCCACCACCTCTGTTGACCAATACAAGGCCGTTTGATCTTGCTGGCCTTAAAGAATCGAGAATAAACTTGATATGTTGAAATGTTCAATTAGAGATTCTTATGCGCTGAGTGATGGTCGTCCAGAGTCTACCTTTTGATTGGTTTACTACGTCTTCCTTACTAGCCAGTAAAAAGCCAGATCTTGAATCCTTCATTTGCGTGTGGCATCTCCATCTCGTCAGACGCTACAGTATAAACAACGGAGTGGAACGTAGAAATAATAAAAAAATCTGACTCAGGTTATTCTGAGTACCTTTATATAGCTGTTTGTTTAGAAGCTTTGCATTCTTACATTTAAAACCAACTCTTGGCCACAAATCACTCCATGCATGTGAACATTATTTTTTAATAAACAGTAGTAGAACTGGTCATTTAGTAGGTTAAGATTATTTAGCATTTTATATGAGAAAGTGTATAATCCTTCCCAAAGCTATTTCGACCTGCATGTCCCGGGATAAGAAGTCATGTCATGGCTTTGCCCTCGAGCACCTGTTATTAGTACTGTAGATTGGAAATGTGAAATCCCTACAGCAAGCTGATGCTTCCTAAAGCCCTAAAACACTTTCTTAAGTAAAAAATAAAAACTAACGTCACATAGTTCTTACCTACAGCTCATCAAGATCTGTAGCTTGATTTTCTGATACTCTACCATGGAAGCAAACCCTGAGTTCTGGAAGCGATTTCTTGACACCTCAACTGTCCAACAGTTTGGGTTTTGATTGGCTAATTTGCAGACGCCCTTCACCGTTTGAGCTACCTTTTGATAGACATCTACCGTCTGGAGGTGCCCCTACTGTGCTTAGATTCCCGCCTCAAGCAGCCTTCTAGCGAGGTTTGGGGGCAACTCTACGTGCAGTGATCTTGCAGGTGCGGCGAGGCCCGAGGGGGCGGGGCTTCCAGGGTTCAAGGGGCGGGCGCTAGCGTGCACCAATCACAGCGCGGCCCTGCTCTATAAATACGCCGAGCGGGGGCCTCGTCTTTCTACTCCTTTTCTTCGTTTTGGCAGTAGCTGTGCTATCATCTGCAGCTGTCATGTCCGAGACTCCGCCTGTCGCTCAGGCTTCCTCTGCCGCTGCTCCCGAGAAGCCTGCGGCTGCAAAGAAGACCAAGAAGCCCGCCAAGGCTGCAGCAGCTAAGAAGAAGCCCGCCGGCCCCTCGGTGTCCGAGCTCATCGTGCAGGCGGTCTCCACCTCCAAGGAGCGCAGCGGCGTGTCCCTGGCCGCGCTCAAGAAGGCGCTGGCGGCCGCTGGCTACGATGTGGAGAAGAACAACAGCCGCATCAAGCTGGGGCTCAAGAGCCTGGTGAACAAGGGCACCCTGGTGCAGACCAAGGGCACCGGCGCAGCTGGGTCCTTCAAGATCAACAAGAAGGCGGAGGCCAAGTCTACCACCACCAAGGTGTCCGTGAAGTCGAAGGCGTCGGCGGCGTCTAAGAAACCCAGGAAGACTGCCGGGGCCGCAGCCAAGAAAACCGTGAAGACCCCGAAGAAGCCCAAGAAGCCTGCCGTCTCCAAGAAGCCTTCCAAGAGCCCTAAGAAGCCGAAGGTGGTGAAGGCCAAGAAAGTGGCCAAGAGCCCTGCCAAGGCGAAGGCCGTGAAACCCAAGGCTGCCAAGGCGAAGGTGACGAAGCCAAAGACTGCAGCAGCTAAGCCCAAGAAGGCTGCACCTAAGAAAAAGTGAACAGATCGGTTGGAGGCTTCTTCAGTAACCCAACGGCTCTTTTCAGAGCCACCTACATAACTTAAAAGAGCTTGGCACTCACTTTTCCTGGTACAAACTAGCTTAGAACCCTCAAGTTAAAATTGTTCACCTGGTTGCCTTAGGCAGCTGAGGGCTTTTCCCCACTGTGGAATAGGTAGATCGTAGCTTGTTTTGTTTGCCCTACCTGACCTGACTTCAACCCAGCGAGGGTAATCTGACGTTTCCCTTTCCACGTAAGTCTTGTCCCTTCTTGAGACTCAGCAGTGCTGTGAGGTGCTGAGGACTTGGCATGGTCAGAAGAATTTTGTATGCAAGTCCAGTGGGGTGGGTGCTGAGCGATACTTAGGCTATATATTTCGGGGCATGTTTAGCCCTGGCTGCGCTGTAACCCATTACTGCCACCCAAGTGCCAGGATTCGATGCTTGCGTCACCACCTCCTGGTGGTACTAAAGCCCTTAGAGTTAGTCCATCTCCCTAGAACTGGAAGCTGTTACAGGCAGCACTTTTGGAGATTTTGATACCCGCTGGTGCTCTTGAATTGATTCTCCTCACTCCCGAGTACTAGGGTTACTCCCAACCCATATCCCCCCTACTCAAGTCTTTTACTGGACTCCCCTACTATCCTGTGAGTTTTTTAAAGAATTATTGGTGTCTGGAAGTTGGGAAACAATTTATAATTGATCCTCTTTCTCAGTTTGGGTCCGGGGATTAGCTCAAGTGATCAGGCTTGGGGCAAGTGCCTTTTACTTACCCTGAGCCATCTTTCTGGCCTGAATTTAGTTGGGTTGTTTCTTTTAATACATTTAGTCATAAACAATAATGATTGATTCATCTTTCACTTAAGGGTCAATTTACTTCAAAGTGATATATGCACATTTAGACATCTTGTTTTCCTTTAACAAAACTTTAGAAAACCAGTTAGTCAAGACACAGGCCTCTTATCTCAAGCACATGGGAAGTTGAAGCTAAAGAATACTGAATTAAGACCAGCCTAGGCAGCACAGTCAGAGGCTGTTCTAACACAAGTTCGGGGAAGATTTGGTTGGATTTTGTTTATTTTCAACCAAAAATAAGTTTTTTATATTTAATAAAAAGTCTCACACCAAGTATTGTACACTAACCATTTGCTAATCTGTTGGTTAGCACTAAACTGATCATGATGCAACAAACAGGACTTCATACTGCTAAATTAAAGTATGTTTGACATTTTTAGTAAATGACTTATTCTAAGGACAGCTCAACTTCCAGAAATATGTCAGTTTCTGCTTCCCCTTCTCAGTGTGAGCTCATTAACTTCTACAGCGTTTAAAGGATGTAGAATAATTTCCATTATTTTAATTCAAAATTTCTTGGCTATTAGCATCTATTTTCTTTGTTAGCTACTTTAGTTCTCCTTCTGGGAATTGCTTGTTTCTATTTCTTGCTCATTGTTTCAGAGTGCTCTGTTTTCTTGTTCCATTATGAGTTTGTTTTAGACGCATATTTATTTTTATGCACTGCACATAATGTGTGCAATCAGAGTTACACGGGATTAGGAGCCACCATGTGGATGTGGGGAACAAACCACCAAGGGTTTGTTCTCTGCAAAAACAAGTATTCTTAACTACTGAGCAATCTCTCCCCTTGCCTCTATTATATTTTTTTAACATAGTAGAGAAATGAACTTTTTTTTTACCATCAACATTGCACAGTGTTTTAACTTTGATCTTTTATTCTCTATTTTCTGTGTGGCATATTTATTTTCATCTGTGATATAAGTTTTGAATATTATACATAAATGTTTTAATGTGTTAAGCATAAATATGTCTTTAATGGGTTTTGGTTTCAAGTCTTGATTCAGAAATTACACCTGAGTGCCTGAATTATTTGTGTGGTCTCTGAGATTTTGAGAATGTTGCTTTTTAAAACATTTTAGGCTCAGCTAGACCTGATGTACAAGTGTCCTTGAGAGGCTAAGGCAAGGTGATCCCAAGTTCATGTACTGCTTGGGCTACAGAGTAAGGTTTTTGAGACCATCATAAGCAAATTAGCAAGACCCTGACTCAAAATAAAATGTTGAAAGGAGTGAGGGCTGGGAGAAAAAAAAAAAGGGGGGGGCTTTGCATGTAGCCCAGTGGTAGAACATTTGTCTAGCATTTATTTGTAAGACCCTGGGTTTAATTCCAGTACTGCCAGAAGAAAAGAAAAATTAGTTTCTTATCCACAAATACTATATTTAATGTTGTTTTAGTCAGCTGTTCCAAAAGCATTTCTTAGACAATCCATTCATTTCCTTCACTGGGCTAACATTCAGTCTTATTTCTAAACGTCCTATGTAAGAGGATCTAGGGTCTATTTTTGCATCTACTGTTCTCCATATAAACTAGGTACCTTTTAAATTTTTTTATTTCTATTTATAGGCATAGTTCTACTGTGACTGGAACATTTCTCATGGCCTTTTGTTACCTCTTATTGTGGAAGCATATTGGTAATAAATAAATCCACCTTTTAAAAATTCCTCAATATGACTTTCATACATTTGGTGGGGGTGGGAGCTCGAGACAGGGTTTCGCTGTGTAACAGCCCTGGCCTCTCGAGGGTGGGGACTAAAGGCAGCGAGCGGGACCACCGCCCGGCTGAATTCCATGCATTTTTTGTGCTGCTTTTGCTACAAAACTCCAAAGTATTGATTTTAGCAAGCATTTTAATTTCTGGTTTTAGTTTATATTGTATTGGATGTTTGTTAGCATATTTCTTATTAATTTTTTAGTGTAAGTATTTTAAGTAGTTCCCTTTCATTCTCATTTGACTTAAATTGTTTAGTAGTTGATAGCTTTTCTTTATATAGTGATATGATTTTAATATTTTTAGCACTTTCTTAACATGGTGTGACTGGAAGACATAAAAGTAGAAGTATGAAACTTGCTTCTCTAGGACGGATGTTTCTGAGAGAGAAGCAGGGGGAAGTGATGGAGTTGAGCGGGGGCAAATCAGTTCTGAGAGTCTGCAGCCTGCAAAATTACCAAGTAGAAGACAGACTCAGCAGCTGACTCAGAAGCTGCCTGTAGACTAATGGGAGTCAGTTCCTTAGCTCTGCTGTGCTGAAACATTTCATGGCCTTGATAACAGTTTGTGGGAGGATGAAGTGATAAATTTGAGTCTTTGTGTTTTTAAAACTAGGAGATTGGGTCAGGCCACCAAGAGAGTGACTGTGGTTGTGTGTGTGAATATATATACATATGTATATGNCTTAGAAAGAAGCCAGCGGTGGTGGCGAACACCTTCAATCCCAGTACCTGGGAGGCAGAGGCAGGTGGCTCTCTGTGAGTTCAAGGCCAGTCTGGTCTACAAGAGCTAGTGCCAGGACAGGCACCAACGATACAGAAAATCCTTGTCTCGAAAAGCCAAAAAAAAAAGAAAAAGAAAGTGAAGAAAAGAAAGAAAATAATAATAATAATAATAGATTAAAAAACAAAAGAAAGGGAGATCTGGCCTTGAAAATTTATTGCACATAAATCCAAATATATATATTTCTATATTTTGGGGCTTCCATTGGTTTACTTCAAAGTAATTTGGTTTGAATTGGCTTTAGTGGTTTGAGAGGGGGTCTCATGTTGCTCAGTATGCAGCTGTGGATGATCGCGAACGCCTGATGCTCCTGCCTCCATCTCCAAACTGCTGTGATGACAAAGACATGCCCTACCATGGCTGGCTACAGTCGGGTTTCTGTAGATTCCAGCCTGGTAGGAATGGAATAAAACACGTGCTACAGCAGGTCATGTCACAGAGGGGAAAATGTCTTCCTGGAATACGGCGTATATTTTAGACATTTTTGTTGTTAGCGGTGTGCATGCATTTTCTGCATCATTTTCACCAATATTTCATAGTGGCGATCATTGTGAAATATTCTAAAACCAGAGATTGAGATGTGACCGTGGTCATCCAGTCTGGCGAGTCTGTGTTTAAATGACTGTTGTCACGAGTGCAGAACTGCAGAACTGCAGCGCTACCTATGCATACAAGAAGCAGAGACTTCAACAGAGCTTCCGGCCACTACAAGGTGACAGCAGGCACACACATATTCTTTTTATTATTTTTTTTAATGATTCCATTTATTTTGTAAGTGAAAGGAAGGTGGGGGAGGGAGGAGGAGGAGTGTGAGTGAGCACGTGACCCGATCTCCTGTGAATGTTAGAGATGGTTTGTGAGAATCAGTCTTCTCCTACCACGTGAGCGAAAAGCAGGGACTAAAAGTAGGTCAGGCACTTTTTCTGGCAGAGCCAATGTTACGGATCCAAATTCTACCCCTTACTTTGCCTCTGCCTTTGGAAGGAAAGGAAAGGCTGCCAAAAGTCACCGGAAATGGTGACTTTATTGAGGAAAGGGCCTCAATAAAGGGATGCACATACACTACAAATAACAGGATTTGCCAGTTCATACAAAGATCACGGCACAATCGGGAGAAAGATGGGAGTTGGAGCAGAATCTCTCATGCAGCTTTTATTGTGTCTTACATAGCTAAATTACAAAAGGAAAATGTGGAAGGAAAGGGGGGGATTTATTGTTTTCTTTTTAGTTTCAGCTTCTGGACAATGTACAATGGAATGTAAATTCGAATATACTTATTTATATCTAAAACACGGCCAGAGTGATTGTGAGAGGCTTCAGAAGAAAGGATATTTGCTGCAGCAAGCTCAGATCTGAGTGTGCTGCTTGTGACCCACATTGCATTCAGCTCTCACAAGTTCTCTGACTAATAGCATGCCTGTGTGCCGGGTGTGAGGGTGTAAGTGTGTGGGTGTAAGACCGGCAGAGCACTTTCTTAGTAACGATTGATGAGGAAGAGCCCAGCTCTTTGTGGGTGGTGCTATCCCTGGGCTGGTAGTCCTGGGTTCTACAGGAAAGCAGGCTGAGCAAGACAGGTGTCATGAGCCAGTAATCAACACCCATCCAAGGCCTCCGCATCAGCTCCTGTCTCCAGGTTCCAGTCCTGACTTCCTGCACTGATATAGATGTGGAAGTGCAAGCTCTTTCTTCCCAAAGGTGCTTTGGTCATGAGGTTTCATCATAGTAACGGTAACTTAACTCGGACACCATCTCCTTGATTTTTTGTAACATATTTTTTTAAACCAAACCATAGCACTGCCCCCATCTCCACCCTTGCTGGTCTGGATCTCCTCCTATAGGAGTAAGGTCAATTTGGGAACTCAAACATTCAGAAGATGTCTACTTAGTGATAAGTATCAATGCCCAAGAGACGCCACTGCCCAGCTATTAGAAGGTAAGGGCTCACAAATTCCCCAAACTTTGAAGGTAGGAAGATAGTTACATCTGTTTTATCTCTTCCTGAACATTGAGCTTTGACCATCTGCTTACTCCTCCAGAGACTGTAACCTGGGCTATAACAACAGCGTATCTTACTTCAAACAAGAGTATATTCTCTGTGTTAAAGGCCACATCCTTTGGTGGTTTGAAAGAAGCAGCTGGAAATTTTTCAGGCATTTTTTGCGCCCATTGTTAAGCCCAGCGGTTACTAAAAGCATGTGAGTTACAATTAAATAACATATGTTTAGAGTCAGGTACCACACTCTTCCAGCTCCGTAATAAGCATCCACACCTCTCGTACCTTGAGTGGTGAATGTGTGTGTCTCCAGTCACGCTCTTAGTTCACTATCTTGTGGGACTAGTTCAGCCATAAAAATGGGTGGCGTTACGAGGGCTTTTTTTTTTTTTTTTGAGCATGTATGCAGAGGAGATTGATTTTCGATTTTCTAAGAGTTGGCTTGGAGGAGCAGCTACTGGGTTTTTTGTAAAAGCTGATTCCAATGGGTATAGAAGATGCTGATTGCTGTTACTGGATCCCACTGTCGGTGCTAGGAGGACTCTTTATATGATCATCTCAACAAACTGGGAAGTAAATAGAAAGCAAGGTCTTTCTTATTCTTGCAGCCTTCATCTTCCTGTGGTGCTCCCACGAAGGACCTGAGGGAGGTTGTAAGGAGGGGAGATCTGGAGCTGGGGCTAAGTCTTCACAAGTAGCACATGGCAGCTTAGGTCCTCACTGTTCCTGATCTTGTCCTGCCCACTACTCACTGGTGTAGCTCTCAGCCTTGACACACCTTTGTAGGTGGTCTCTTCAATACTTGTGTTTGATAGTCTTTTGATCTAAATTTTTCATATGGGAATCCTAATATCCTTTCATTTTCTATCACAAAGAGAGTAAAATATAACAAATATGTGTCAGTCATGATGTTGATGTCCTACTGTATTTATTGCCCCTGTAAAGGGAGCAGGTGGCAGATAAAAGTAGGGGCTAGAGGAGGCTGGGAGAAACAACACTTACAGGGAGCAGCATGTAGTTGTCGGATAGGTTTCAGGGGCCTATTGCTGTGATGAAACACCGTGACCAAAAGCAGCTTGGGAAGGAAAGAGTTCATTTCACTTCCATTTCCATGTAACAGTTCATCATCAGAACTCAGCCAGGGTAGGAACTCAAACTGGGCAGGAACCTAGAGGCAGGAGCTGATGCAGAGGCCATGGAGGGGTGCTGCTTACTTGCTTGCTCTCTATGGCTTGCTCAGCCTGCTTTCTTTTGGAACTAGAACCACCAGCCCAGAGGTGACAACACCCACCATGAGCTGTGCATGCCTCATCAATCACTAATTAAGAAAATGCCCTACAGGCTTCCCTGCTTATGCCCTGATCTTCTGGAGATTCCCTCGTCTAAGATGACCATAGTTTCTGTCAAGTTGATGTAAACCAAGCCAGCACGTGTAGAACTGTGCCCGAAGGAGACAGAGACTCTGCTTTCTAGTCTTCATTCTCAATGCCTACACTTAAACTTCACTCAGAGTGTTTAATAAGGCAGAGCCCTCAGATGTAGAAAGAAGCATTTGTGATCTTTGTTAGTGTTGATGATGAATCCTTAAGTCTTTGCTATAAGCACCCCTCCTAGCATCCATTTCCTATGAGTGATCAATGGTGCTGGTGCTGGAGCCATCTGACTCCCTGGTGCTGGTGGTTACAGGGCTGCTGTGACTGACAGCTGGAGTGGACTGGGACAGCTGGACATCATTTATTGAACACAGAAAGGAAATTATTATATAAGATGCTGGCACGTTTAAGGCCTGAGGGAAAAGTAGTTAGCTAGAGTGAAATGCAGTGTATAAAATGGATAAATAAAAAATCTAACAGCACGACTCAAAGGGAAGTCTGAAAGAATCAACATGAAAAGGCAAAGGTTAGTGCCTGCCACCACAGCCGGGGAAAGAGAGTTGCCATAGGAACCATGGAGGAGGAAAATAATTCAAACAAAGAAATTACTTGCTTTTAAGACCAACTTTGAGATGTTAAACAACCCTATTCTATTCCCCTCCTTCTCGTGCCCCTGCTGAAGGAGGGACTAAACCTAGGGCCTTATCCACACTGCACAGGTGGAAGGGCAGCCTTTCTGCTGCATCATCTCCCCACTGCAGAGATGCTGTGGTAGGACGCCTGGCTCAGAGGACACCGAGTCTC